GGAATTAAAAAAAAACCTCTTAAACTTTTCAACATTTTTTTTGGCAGTTGAATGAAAGTATATATATATATATATATATATATATATATCTATTTGTAATCACTAAGTTCTAGCCTTCCAGCAGTACATGTCTGATGTCATCAGTGTTTAAGGTTGCATCAATCACGTTTTGGAAAGCTTCTACGTGCATCAAGGACTGTGGGGTTTGATTGGTTGCTTGTCTTGGACTGGTGTCATTTTGTTTGGTCGACACACCCCAAAGAGTAGGAAGAGAGAGAGAGAGCACTTGCATGACACGCCTGAGCTTCTTTGTTCTTTCTAACCAGCGTGTAAGATGGGCTTATTACGTAATGACGGACCCCCATGTCTTGAGTCATCCGACCTTCGGGATAATAGTTCCAGAAATATCGCGCGCAGTGACATAAATGGGACACGCTTTAGAAAGAGTAAATGTGGATGGGGGGGGGGGGGCGGTATCTTGTCCACCTTGTCATTGCATGTCCGGAGCGCACTCAAGTGAAACTATCAATGGCGTCCATCAGTCAGATAGATCAGTCAGACTTGGTGCAGACATGGACACTTAGTTTGGTAACCCGTGTTTAGTAAGATGAAGCATGATATCCTAATTGGCTTGGGAAATGGTGAATGATGTGAAAATGGATACGGATGCCTTGCGTCTTTGTTCGGAGCGTACTTCATTAACTTTGGTGTTGAGTGAACACATTGGTTTGCAAATGACTAGCTTTGTTTGGTAAGAGAAATATCTCTGGGCAAATAAATATATGTTTTAAAAAAAAACAGGATTGACGGACGGCTGGATTGTTGGATAGATATTTCAATGATTTATGAACCTTCAAGTTCCTCCTCTTTGCACCCACCCGAGACGTTAATTGCTGCGGGCTCTTAAGAAACAACAGATGACCTCTCCTGCGGAATATGGGAAGGGGTGTCCTGGCTTATTCTAACGCTGACCTGAAAGGACCTTTCCAGGACGGCCATTCGAGTGGTCAGCGCGTGCGCTGTCTTAAGATGTTGCAGGTGATCAAGGGATCCAGAGGTCAATGAAGCTGCACTGCGGACTGCTGGGTGTATTGTCTGGGCTGTCGTTGCTTGTCCTTTGAATGAAACCGACAAGTAGATTTACTGTTTTGTTTCGGACATTGAAAGTTGAGAACTGAATAGGTAGAATACAAACCTTTAAAGCCCGGACATACCGTCTGATAAACGTGGTTTTTTTTAAAAACAAATGTTGTTTAATTTGAAGGGCTTTTTTTTTCTTATTTTGACATATTTTTTTTTATTCGTTGTGCTTAAAATGGAAGCTTAGTGGCCTAATGGTAAGGCTCTTGGCTTCCTAACCAAAGGATCTCGGGTTCGAGTCTCTGTGAAACCTCAGATTCTTTTTTTCGGGATTCTTAGAGTGCAGACAGCCCTAAAGGGTACCAGACATTAGTTTGCGTTTGGTCGTTTTACTGTTCACATGACGCCCTTGTTAACAGTTGGCTAAAGAAACAGATGGCCTTTACATCATCTGTAAGGTGTTCTGTTTTCTTTTGTTTTTTAATGAATTAAAAAGAAACTCAACATTTCTTTTGGAACTCTTTGTTTTTCTTTCAATATTCAGGTAGTCTATTTGTGGGGAAAGTATAGAAAAGTAATTGTTCGTGTGTGTGTGTGTGGGGGGGGAAACAACAGTCTGAGACTCGTTCTTTCTGTTGATGGTAGCCTGTAAATGTGTATCAATTCCTATGTTATTGGTGGCCATGTTTCACTGACATACAATGCATCCCTTACACCAACAAAGTCGCGTGTCCTCACTGCTATTTCGGAGTCAATAGATTTTTAATGAATTGAAAAGATTACTTCAAATCAACTCAACCGGGAACAGATTCAGGTGGTAAGAGAAAGGGAGAGAATATTTATTTCTGGAAGCAGAAAGGGGGGGGGGGAGTACATTGAAAGGAATATCTCGCAGCAGACGTCAATTATTGGTTGTTCAATCCCAAACAGGTGGTGTTGCACGCGCGACCGCCTTTCGTCACAGACGACATCCATCTGAACCCAGCACCTTTAACCTTTGTTCTATTGGCAAGCTAATCTCGGCACGCGCTGTTTTTTTTTTTCTATTCTCTCCCTTTTGTGTGTATGTGAGTATGAGTCCTGTGTTACCGTGTTCTGTATAGGCGGGAAAATGTAGCTTACAGTTGTCTGCTGGCTCACATTTTAATGTTTGCATTGGAGAGTGACTTTGTTCACTGCATAGGTCTGATAAGGATTGGTTGTATGGTAGAACTAAGGGAAACAAAGGACAAAACATGCTACTTGCGACCTTCTCATTGATTTCTAGATCTAGTTAGGATCTGTTTAAAGATTTCATCAACATTTTATAATGGGCGATGTTGGAGTAGCTTCAATGAATAAATGAGCACAAGAAATGGAATCGTGTCTTTATGCCGAATACTTCAAGTATTTAAATCGGTTGTGATCTCTTTGATAGGTCTTAAATAATTACATTTAAAATGTCATTGAATGAACTGTTAGTGTTTCCCAGGAGGTGATATTTATTCATGCAGATATACAATTACAGTTAAGTGCGATTGGCATTTCAGCATTGTTATAGTTCCAGTCTCGTTGCATATTTCCAAAAAAAATGAAACGAGCTATTAAGTTACTATTTGGACTTTGCGGTTGAGCTCCACTAGTTCTAGAACCCTATTGTAGACATTATTTTTTCAATACGTGTCAAATGAGCTGTTGATTGGACGGTCGCCTCGACGTACCGTATATAAACCGGCAGGTTTTTGTTTTGTCACTTGTCGAGGGGGGGGGGGGGGGGAGGTGTTACTGCGTAGTGTGAGTAGTGTTGACAAGTGGTCCACCCCGCCACTTTGGGTCAGGTGGCTAGAAGGGAGTGGGGAGGGTGTGCACAGGTTTGTCCACCTTAAGGGCATTGTCCCCGTGGTTTCGAATTCGGGTGGCAGTGCTACCGTAGAGTACCTCGAGGGCTGCATATTGTTAAGGAAAATGACCGAAAAAAAAATGGAGGCGATAGTTGGGTGCATATGTCCATAAACTGTCCGATGAATCTTTTACCAGCGCAGAGAACATTGACCGAAGCCTTGATTTTTTTGTTGTTGCTTTGTTGATTTGTATTCGTATGTTTAGAAAAAGTAAACCAGAATGAACAATTACCTTCTACTCGAAACTAAACAATACAATTTCGTTGTGATTCAATTGAGCACAGTGTCACAGAGTTCTTTTTGAGATCTAGATAGTATCCATGTATTAATATTCTCCAATTTATTTATTTTTTTCAATTCTTTGAAGTGATAGTGTTAACCAGAACTCTAATTTCAACAATGCTAGAATTGAGTTTGTCTCACAAGTTCCTGAAGAATGATCCTAATTAACGAGCGACAATTGTTTGAATTTCTGCTATAAAGGTTTCTTTTGTCTTAAAGACAATCCATACACTTAGAAGAAGAGAGTTTCTTCTTTTGCATATTTCTGAGTTCTAGACTAAAAGTCGCTTTCAAACTGCCCAGTATTTTATTTCAAACAAAACAAGAAGAGATCTATTAAAGGTCGAGGAACTGAACGCTCAGTGGAGAGCCTCATCAAAATGACGTTTGTTGTTATTGGTGGCTGATTTGGGAGGGGGGGGGGGAGGGTGCTGAGTGGACAGATTATTTGCAGGTAGCAATCAATGAAAGCTCTTTCTTCTTGGCACGTGGCTGAGATGCCTGGGGCTTGCCAGTAGATGCATTGTGACCGCAGGTCAAAGCACTGGACTATTGTCGTCGTGCGCCTTCTGTTCCGGTGGTGCTCACTGTCTGCATGGTGTGCGGACAGGGGTCATTGGCTTTGTGCATGGCTCCTCACTCACCCTTCTGACCTTTGGGAGCTTTTGAAAATTGGTACCCTATTTTAGTGGGTTTTTTTTTTCAGTAGTGATTAAACGAACAAAAGGGTTATTGTTAAGTGGGAGGGGTTGTGTCGCTTGTAATGTAAATGTTTGATCAGGATTGGGTGCCACCCCTGTCTTTACCACTTTAGTGATATCGGTAGATAGACTCTAGAGGTTGTACATAATTGAGCACTGAAGGGATCATGACTCATCATTGATGTTGTTGTTCCCAATGGAAGATAAAGAAAGGTCAAACGATAGTTTTAGAAACTCGAAAGATGCTTCTAAAAGTGCATCGTGCAAACAACGCTGACCCCTGTCAGTGTACATACTGTCCCTCAAGTCTCTGACATAAAGCTTGGTGCACGACACCGAGTGGGACAGATTGTCACTGGTTAATGACGTCAGTTTGCATGCATGTGCATGAGATCGCGCCACAACGTTCTGTTGTGTTGGACTTCATCAGTCAGGTCTATCTTCTTAGCGTCATTGCAACATCACGGGTCTTATGTCATCTTAATGAACTCTGTTGCTTGGACTTGACTGGGGGCTTTACAATCATTAGAAGTTGTGTTTTTGAGAGAGCAAGTCTTCTTGTGTCGATTTTAAGCAACAAAACCATTTAGTTGTTGCCCTTATTGACAATGTATTAATCAATGTTCTCAAGTCTTATCAAATTTTTACATTTGTTTCAGATTTAACTTTGTGTATAAATAATTTCAACAGACACATGTATAGGTAAGTGTTGCTGTGGTCTGTTGATATAAGGAAGAACTTTCATTATTCGGGAATAGTCTTCTTGGGTATAGAAATAGGCAGAGACTATTATTTATCAAATATGAAAAGAATCTACATGTACATTGCAAAACACTTTTAAAAGTAATTTTAAATATATGTTAAAGTTAATGTCAGAATTATCCCGTGTATATTTTGGACTTGGTAAAGATTCATGGCTTGTTAACTCAATGTTTTGTTTTGTTTCAGGCTTCAGTCTACCACTGTACATAGACCATCTCCTTGCACACCCGCGCGCTGTGTGTGTGTGTGTCTCTCTCTCAGTGTTGCTGTTGTTTTTGGTCGTTCTAGTTTCATCACCCCCCCCCCCCCCTGTGTGTCACATTCGTTTGGAAAGTGTTGAGAAGTTTGTTGTTTGTTTTTCTAATCTTCTGCATTTGGTATTCGTCTTGTTCAAATCAACATCATTGGTCAGATCGAGATAGGACTGAACACAGACCTTCACTACTTCGTGAGACTTCATTGGTTTGGAAACTTGCTTGGAAGTCGATTATTGCACTCATGGACCAGAAAATACTATTTAGACAAATGTGCACATACAAAATAAACTTTGTTTTTTTATTCCAATTTCAAACAATTTGGATTCATTTTCTTTGTATTACGTCTATGAAATGCACTTAGATATATATATAGAGAGAGAGAGACAGAGATATCATTTCAACACATTTAAAGAACTAATGGCCAGGGTTTTTTTTTTTTTTTTATAAATAGTATATTCTATAAGGTTTGTCTCCGAAGTTTAAGGGTGCAATATTTCACTTGTCTTAGCATTCCTAGCTACTAACCTGAGCCATAACATATCTGTATTAGTTATGTTATTAACTTTGGGAATGCTGACACTTAAAGCCGAAAATTCGCCGTTCAAGGAATCAATTGTACTTCAGGAAAACTTGGGTTAGGTCACTTTTTTATTTAAAAAATGAACAACAGATTTATTTCTCTGTGGTAACGTACGAGACGCAACAAGACTTTTTAAACATCTGGCTCTTCTTTGTTCTTCCACTTTGTTGAAATGATTCATGGAAATTTAGGAGGAAAACCACTTTTTTTTTTTTTTTTAATTTGTTGTTTTTCTCTCTCTCACACACAGACAAGTGAAAGTTTTAATTGCTTGAAGAATGATTCTTGAGAATAGCCAGAAGGGGGTTGGGTTGGCTTGGCCTGATGGGGCGGCTGATGAGTGAGTTGGGTGTCTGAGACAAAGCCAGACGCCCTCCTAATATTTGAAGCTCGTCAGTCCCAAGAGATGGAAATTAGTCCGGAAGTGCTAAATGATCTGCTCAAGCATGCGCAATGACTCATCTATTAGAAGGTGGATAAAAGACAAATTTAAATCTTTGAAAGTAAAAAAAAAATTAAAAACTTAGTGAAAATTAAAAAAAAACAACAAATGATGCCTTACAAGATTGTTATAAATTAAAATTATCTCATAGTCTCAGAATTGAAATAAAAGCTAAAATATTCTTTGTTTAGAAGTTTTAAAAATCTGAATCTTGTGACAGTGTGTTTAACTGACTCTATGTACTGGTCCGAACTGTCTTGAATGACGACTGATGAGTGGTTTATAAATGACTGCGTATGTGCTAAGTAGCATAAGGAAGGCTATGCCGGTACTGAAGGTGTACCGAATAGATTGACATAGTAATTACATAAACATGATTTACATCTCTATGAGTGTTTCCTAGTCTACTAGAACAAGCGACTCATTAACTGCCTCACGATAATAAATCTGTTTTGCCTGGCATAACAAATTGATACGACACAAGACTTGGATGCAGACACGTGATCGCGTGTTGAGATGTTCATGGCCAACAATGCTAGACATGAACTACAATGTAAGGCTCATTTCAAGAAGAAAACAGAATCAAGGACATGAGAACACGACTCTATTCAAAGACACGTTTCCAACAACCCAGAGACCACCTCGATGTTTCTTAAAACCCAGGGACAACCTCGATGTTTCTTAAAACCCAGGGACAACCTCGATGTTTCTTAAAACCCAAGGACGACCTCAATGTTTCTTCCAACCCAAGGACAACCTCGATGTTTCTTAAAACCCAAGGATAACCTTGATGTTTCTTCCAACCCAAGGACAACCTCGATGTTTCTTACAGCCCAGGGACAACCTCGGTGTTTCTTTCAGCTTGCTCCAGAAGTTATTCTTTGTAAAATTCCTTTTCATTATCTCAACTTGAAACGTGAAATATATTCAATAGATCATTTACTTTGAACAGGACAGTAAACAGTTTCCAGCAAGCCCCTCCAGGAATCTATTTTTTAAAACAACTTTCCATTTGCAAGCAAATTGTTTAGAAGCATTCCAGAGGAAGAGCTGCTCGTAAGTGTAAGCGTCCAAATGTTATTTAATATTTTTATGAGACTTGATCTGTCGTCGGGGAAAAGAAGCTGATTGAACAAGGAAGAAGCTATTCTGTGGCTTAAAAAACTAATACGAATCGTTTTGGAACAAGAGAACCTTCATTGCTCTCATTGTCCGCCATATCCCCTTCCTCAACAATGAAGAAACAAAATTTAATGTTAAGGGTTGAAAGATAAAATTGAAATGTAATGATACCGGTACGGGTACCAACATCGGAGAGTGAAGAAGACCTAGTTTAAGCAATCGAAATAAAATAAAAGCTTATCTAAGAGAAAGAACCTCCAATTCACTGCCATATATCTCAATACTACATGGTTAAACTCTCCATTTTCATACATAAAATTAATTACCACTAATTGCTTAATTAATGTGTTAATTTTTTGAATGACTCGTATTTTGTCAATGAAGAATTGTGCACAATTTCAAATCTGATCCAACGAAGTGAAGTGGAAGAAAACAAAAGGACTATTTTTGAGAGGGAGTTATTATAAGCTTTTGTAATAGCTTCAAAACGTTCGTTGACATCATATAGACCTGGCACAACTTGTCCTTAACAACATCAGGCATACAATCGTTGTTTTTTTGCAAACAGTTTACCCAATGCATTTTAAAATATTGTAATGGCGGATATCAAACAATACATTGCTTGGCATAAATTTAGTTGAACACGCCATCTTAGTATCGAAACATGTTGCAAGGAGAAACAAAGACACAGCAGAAGGGGGAAAAAAAGAGACCGGCAAAGAAATAGTAAAGAAAAAAGATTTTTAATAAGTTAATATATTTGAAGAAAAAACAGCTAAAGAGAGAAAAATAAAAGATAGAAAAAGAAGTAATTGAAGAGAAAGTGAGAAAAAGAAAAGGTAATGTAGAGAAAAAAAGAAAGGGTGATGTAGAAGAAAAAGAAAGGGTGATGTAGAGAAAAAAAGAAAGGGTGATGTAGAAGAAAAAGAAAGGGTGATGTAGAGAAAAAAAGAAAGGGTGAAGTAGAGAAAAAAAGAAAGGGTGATGTAGAAGAAAAAGAAAGGGTGATGTAGAGAAAAAAAGAAAGGGTGATGTAGAAGAAAAAGAAAGAGTGATGTAGAAGAAAAAGAAAGGGTGATGTAGAAGAAAAAGAAAGGGTGATGTAGAAGAAAAAGAAAGGGTGATGTAGAGAAAAAAAGAAAGGGTGATGTAGAGAAAAAAGAAAGGGTGATGTAGAGAAAAAAAGAAAGGGTGATGTAGAAGAAAAAGAAAGGGTGATGTAGAAGGAAAAGAACATTTGAGAACGACAAAAAAAAAGGGAAGAGAGTGATAAAGTTTTTAAAAAGTCTGATAGATGTTTGAGAAAGAGAAGAGGGGGGAAAATATAAAACTTTGGTTGAGAGTAGAAGAAAGAAAGTGAAAGAAAAAAATGCTAAGAGAATAATAAAAAGAGAACAAATGATAGAAACAATAGAAATAGCGAACGGAGAGAAAGAATAGAGAAGGTGAGAATTTTCTGACTAACAAGCTTTCTCAACGATCACTTGATAGATAACGCTAAATGCAGCGGCGGCGCACGGCGTGGGCGACGCCTACGATATCGCTGTTGGAGCTCACACCTTGATGGTTTATCCTTAAAAGAGGTGCATCTGGTAATACAAAATCATCTAAATTTACTTCAACCTTTATTCAAACTAATTAACCACACACATGTCGAAATCTGTTCTTGACTCGTAAGGTAAAAGAGTCAAAATATGTATCTTTGTGCTCAAATGTATTAGAGACTGTAAAAAAGTTACTGATTCTTTCAATTATGTTTGACTTTGTGGTGCATTTGGAGACGGGTAGCATACTGTATATTATATAGCATGCAAATAATGCAGAAAAAAACTAAATTATGATCAATAGTCAACATGGCATTAAAAGGGACATCAGTATTGGAAGTGAAAAGCTGACAAGCGTCAGTAGTTTCAAATACCTCGGACCTATTGTCTCAAATAAGGGAACGTAACCTGAACTACTGTCCCGAATCGCACAGTCCACATCAGCACTTTCAAAACTTGAAATAATATGGAAAGACAAAAGCATAGTCCTCGGCACCATAATCAGACTGATGCGCTCCCTGATCATGGCCACATTCTTATATGCTTGCGAGTCTTGGACTCTGACTAGAGAGGAGGATCCTAGCAATGGAATTGAGATGCTACAGAAGGATCCTAGATATCAAATTGAAAGACCGCATCACAAACCAAGAGATTAGAGACATGGTTACTACAGCGATTGGACCCCACGATGACCTGCTAACTATCGTAAACAAAACGCAAGCTTAAAAATCTATATTACAATGTCTTCGGGGCTTGCAAAGACCCTCCTTCAGGGAAAGTACCAGGAAAAAGACGAAGAGGCAGACAGAGAAAGCGATGGGAAGACAACATAAAAGAATGGACGGGTCTACCATTGAAAGAGGCTCTATCTAAGGCAAAAGACAGAGAGGAATGGAGAAAGACGGTCGACAAATCTTGTATGGTGCCTTAACGGTCCAACAGACTAAGGGATGGGTAAATGTAAAAAAAAGATTAGGTCATACATCAATCAGCACAATAATTGGACAATTTATCGGAACATATTGAACTACTGCAGTACTGGGAGCGTGGGTTAATTATTCACAACTGTTGTGTCCAAGGATACGATGGTAGGCGTTACTTGTAAAATGTTTGTTGTTTGTAAAATGTTTTATATGTTTCGGATGTTCCTTCAGAGTTGAAGATAGTTTACTTCCTAGTCCAAACCTCCCGCAGGACGACGGGGGATGGGAGCGGGCAGCGTTTGAACCCGGGACCATCGATAAATCCGAACGACAGTCCAGCGTGCAAACCACACGACCAGGCAGCCAGGTACTTTTTTGTCAATAGCAGGAATTATCTTTGCACTAGTCTTATTTCATTGGCTGACTAACGAGGACATGGTGCTCCGAGCAAATGTGACTTCGGAGCTGGTAGATAAAGGCTACATACCGGTATTTGTTAGGTGACAAATGTAAAAAAACAACAAGGTTACAAAAACACCAACTCAAAATCGGCCCTCGAAGTAGGTCCACCCAGGCAAGTAAAAAGGCAGGTATCAATATGTTCAGAAAGAACATCAGAATTGAATTCGATCAAAGACAAATGACAGAGAAGAATGGAGAAATAAGGTTGACAGATGGTGCCCCAGCGGTACAGCAAACCAAA